CGGCTTCGGGGCGTGACGAGCTGTAATTCATCAGTGGGCGTCCCTCGTCGATGGACTGAGCAACAAGGACTCGGGGGACCGGCGCACGGAGCCACTCGATCGCAAATCGAGAGTATCGGGTCTTCGGACCCTGCGATGCCTTTGACTGTACACCCATACGAAACAAGGGACGCCTTTGCGCGTCTAATCTTCCGAATTTCCGGGGCTCGGCTAATGGGGTATTACGAGCTCGAGCGACGCTACTTCCAGCGCTTACCCCGGTAATTGGAATGTCTATGCACGACGTTGAGATTTCCTCGCTGTACGTTTGCTCAGACTCTCTCTCTCTCTCTCTCTCTCTCTCTCTTCGCCGGAGTGATTAAACATTAATTTCTGTTTGAATCGCAAGTACTTACCCGTTGCTACATGGCGCACTGGTGTGTTATTTATCTTTGCTCCGCAGGGGTGGAGGGGCAAAAAACGTTTCCAACGGCTTAAGTTGTAAACCGAAGTAACTGTTGTCTTGGAAAAAAGCGGGGAGAAAGTAAAAAGTTTCTCGTTGAATCGTTTTAGCCCCCACCCCTTGAACGAAAAGTCGGACCGCGGGTCAATTTTGCTACTTTGCGGAGTTGGGAAACTCGAGGCGTCGTCGTTCATCTTACCGTGTTTTGAGACCGGAAACAAACCAGTTGGTATTAGGGAAGCTCGAGCGTGGAATCAACTCGGCGGGGAAGTCAAACTTCTGTTACGAACTCAATATGTATATCCCCGAATCTAGTGGGGATTGGGGGTAGTGGCTAGTGCACTCGAGATATTGGATAATGTACCTACTTATTGAGCTGAGATAACTAATGAAAGTCGGGGTATGTGAATCAGAAATTTCAAGATCTGATGGTGCAGGAGCTGTTTAAAAAAAACTGCGATAAAGAGTTACGGTGTGAAGTTGAACGCGAAGAGTGTCCAACTTTTTTTAAACCTTTTTGGGTATCGGTGTATCTTTTTTTTCCAACCCGAATAAACTTTTCAATTTTTTTTTTATCGTAATTGGCGATACTAGAATTGTTTTTAAAGAGAGAAAAGATCCCTTGTCACTTTTCTATTGACCAATCCGTTTTTTAATAATATTTCGTAGTCATACATACCACATATCCATTTGATCTGAAAATACTGTTTGAACTAATTTATTAACTAATAATATTTGAATTGAGATCAGTGAAAAAGATTTAAAAAATTTTTGAAACTGACGCAGGGCAGGCAACCATAACGCTTTTTTTCCAAATAAAGTCAATGAGCTCAGCTTTAAACTCCAAACTGAAAAAATCTTTGGCATTTACGCTTTTTTTCTCCAGTAAGAGTAGCCCCGAACAGAAAAAAAGCTTTTTTCAGTTTGGAATCGAAAGAGGAACTCATCGACTTTGCACTTACGGCTTTTTTACGAGAAAAAGTTTGCGAGATCGGCATTTTTCACACTCCCCGTTTCGAAAGATCGCGCCTTGTTTTACCTTAAAACTATTTATTTACAGTTAAAAAATGTCAACACATGCAAGCATTTTCTTAACAAAAACCCTCTTCCCCTTTCGAACCCAAGATGAGTTTCGACTGAAAACTCAATAACCTTATTCCACATTTCAGAATTTTTTCTTATACTTTGGGAGATTCGTTCTATATTAAAAGCTGTTGAAAAAATGCCCACGATAGCATTAGATGTAAAAATCCGCATCCTGTTTTCCAAGGCGCGTATAAATAAAAATAAAGCCCCAATTTTCGTTACCTTTCAAACTATCGACTCCAATAAATACCCGGCCACTCGAAAGACCCCACCATGAAGTGTTACACACGCAAACACTTTGAAACAACAGGGCGCCCGCCCTCCCCACGGAGACACCATACACGTAAAAACACTCGGAAGCCCCGATCGTGACGGTATCCGGCACACAAGTATAGGCATACCCACTCCGTAGCGAGCAAAGACAGGGAATTTGAAAAGTCTCACGTCCAAACGGCCGATCGGTATCGCCCCTACACGCACGCTGGCCGGAAGAGAGCGTTTAGCTCGACAACTCAGACACACGCCTTACGGGCCTCCTCCGCGGTCTCTCCTGATCGATGGCCACAGATGCCATCCCCGCCCCCCCCCCTCTTCTCTCCTTCCGTGTATATATACACTCCTCCTCGCTTACACGGCAGTCCTTACATTTTTCACGTACCTACACCCCCGCGTCCTTGCTCCTTGTCCCTTATTGTTGTTTCAGTTTACGATTTCTCCCTACTTGCCCACCGGGCAATAACAAATTTAATCCGGACAGCTCCGGGCGAGTTGTATCTTGTTCCGCGCTTTCGATACTTTTTTTATTCCGTGATGTTGCGAGAGGATCGCGATGACCACGGCCCTGCCCTTATGTGCACTGTGCAGGTGGTGCAGGTACAATGCAGACAAGCTCCTACAGCATCTGCCAAGGTTCTGGTAAACATGTACCAAAATCGATATTGGCTCGGATAGATGAGCGTTTTCGGAGCGATACATTATTCATCGCCTCGATGTATCGGCACTTCCATGGACTCGGTATAGCCCATCGTGTTTTTCATTTAGCTCTAATGGACTGAGGGTGATTTTTACAAACTCCTAAAGTCAGGCAGTGAAATCGCGCTCAGGGAGGGGAGAGAGAAACGGTGCGCGTGTACGGCTAAAAGTTTTGCCGAGCCCTTCCCCTCCCCCTTTGTTATTCGAATCGAGTGGCTCAAGGGCTCGGGTTTCGAAAATTTAATTTTCCACCGCCTGCCTTTCAGTCAACGCTCTTGTGCGAGTAGGATAAATTTCTTATTTTTTTTTTATCGTTGCGAACTTGGTTTTGTTGTCGCATATATATACCTACGTGCAGGACGTACATCCAAATGAGCTGCGCTGCGAGAAATTTAATTAAACCGAGTAGTTTGCGTACACATATATACACGTACACGGAAAGTTTGGTTGTTACTTCCCGTACAGTGCCTGTATCTGTATGATAAATGCCGACGTGAGTGCGCCCACGGACCCCAACTTTTGGTATTAACGCTTTGCGATGCACATGTGCGCGCGACAGAGGATTCGTTCGGTTGTGGGTTTTTCGCGATTGTGTGTATGGGAAACAACAACAACAAAAATAACGAGTCCGCTTCTCCCCTCCGTCGTGATATTGTGTGTTGTATATTGACATATTCTGGTAACAAAAGTGTTGCCGGTGACACTTTCGAAATGCAGGGAATTGATTTGTATAAAAGTGTCAAACAATCCTCTTATCCATACATTTCGGCTTTAATGGAAATGGTACATTATTTTCACCTCCATTATCGTTGGATGTAGCAGCTTAAAAATACAATAGATAAAATATTGCACACACGTAATCCCCTGGGATTTATATACATATACACGTTTAAGCAGGAACTTTGTATCTGCGTAGTGCCATCAATGTCACATTTGTGTTAATGTGACGTTGACACGAGACGAAGTGTATCCATTTCAAAAATAAAAAAAAGGAGGACTACACTAGCAGTTCAAGCGGATCAAGTTACGACTAGGGCGGGGTCACAAATGGATTTTTTTTTTCTTCCAGCGCGTCGCTTCTCTCTTCTCTCCAAGTGATCCTCTTGTTTTTACTAAGTGGATGCATTTTGTTTCCTCACTCTCTGGGTATCAGTTTTTTTTTTTTTTTCTTTTTTTTCTTCGGTGCTACCATCACCCGCTTACTTATATATATTTTGATTTACTTCCTCTTTTTCCACACTGCCTTAGCTTGAAAAATCCATCTCTTTGTCTCCCAAGACTTTATCCGCGGATAAAAAAAGGCAATCTCATCATTATCACCATCATCAAACAGCTAGCAATGGTGCAGGTCTCTGATTTTGTTAGCTTTGGAAGCACCACTCGGCAAAAGCGCATCGACTCTGAAAAATCGACTTTCCGCGAGAGAAAACAAAAAAAAGTGTGTCAAGGATAGCATTTTATCCACGAAATGCGCAAGTGAATCGAGTGCACGTGTGCGGAATACGTTCCCCGGGTGTTAAGTAAAAAGGAGGAGAAAGGGGTGAAGAAAAAGGATGTATATAAAAAATGACCTTGTACCCCAGTTTAAACAGCGTCGCGTTCGCGATCGATAATTTCGGAATTTCATTTCAAGCTCACCTCGTTTCGCCCGCTATATGCATGAACGTTCATCATAATACCAGCGAAAAAGTGATGATCAACCGGAGAGTGAACTCTCACAATCTCCTCGTGGTAATTGCATCCTCCAACAACAGGATCGAATCAACGAAGAACATTTTTTTTTCCCCTCCCCGAGTTTGCTTGTGACGCGCAAATCTCGCTCAACTCGAGGTACATGCGTCCATCGCTCGGGAAAATAACTTTACATCAAGCGCGACACGAGAGCTGTTTACATTACAAACACCCATCGGCCCCTTTTGCCCCGCGCGGCAGCTCCCGGGCCAAAATTACGACTCGCGAGCCTGTCCAAACAGCTGAAGGTAATTTTCGGCGCGAGGCGGAAAGGTGCGGGCGACGAGTAGGTGTCCGCTTGAAACGTCATCCCAAGAGCTTTAATATCCCCGGTGATGCGACGACGGCGACTTTGGTGCCGAGGAGGAAGTCCACGGGGGAGCGGACGGATCTCGGTGCTCATCCTTTCATCGCTGGAAATAGACGCGAAAATTTGGCGAAACCCGACACCTCGCGAGAGCGTGTGATGAATGTCGATGGCGAGTGTCGCGATGCTCTCGTTTGTTCCGTCACGTTTGCACGCACGTTTTGGGGATTGTGCAATACCGATGGTTCGCTGAGCCATTTTCCCCTGGGATGCTGGGGTGTTTGGGGTTAAAACAAGTCAACACTTGTGGGGTAAATTTTGTACTTTGAAATTTTTATTTAATACTTTCCATCTAATTATATGATATTATTGTTTAACCTATTGTGTACATTCTAAGCGGTTGCATAACCAAATCTTATGTACTAGCGATAAAAAATACTTTCAATATGAATTTGTCGAGAAACACGCTCGTAAGGCACATTATACTTTTTTTTTTTTTTTTTCATTTTCAAAACTAACTCTTGATTCAGTTTGTCTAACATTAATTTGAAAATCACCTATTCAAACATACATTTACAGTATTTAGAAAATACGATAGTATATAACACATCTGTATAGATACTTGTACATACAGCTAATGATTCGCTCGATACTCGTCACGAAATTTTTTTAGGCACTACTGCTTTGTACTTAAAGACAAGCAAATGTGTTATTAAAAAAAATTTTTAGGTACGAAACTTGTACACTCGAGAAAACAATTTTTTGGTATAAAAAAATTTGCAACATATGCACACTTTTTGCCCCAGTAATCGACGCATCAGTCGTGTCTCCCGTGCAAAATTATAGTCTTATTTTTTATTATCATTATTATTTTAGAATCTCGTTCTTTTTTGGTGTCAATCGTATATTATTATTATTACAATATGGCAACGTGTTAACGTTTTTTGGTACAAAAATAGGAAAATAGCCTTCAATGTTGGACGGAATAGTGATTTCTGTTCACCGGCGTCGTCGTCGCGGCCGTTGTCTCGCTGATGCTCTGAACTATCAAATTGAGACAGTCCAAACTGCTACTCGAGTTCTGATCGGCCGGCGACTCCACGCTCTGATCGTATCCTGAAACAAAACGCAGTCCATCAAAATAATAATAATTTTTTTAGTTCAAAAACGGTGTTTGCAGAGCGAAATTGTGATTTTTTTTTCAACCATAGGGATCTCGCTACTGCTACTCCATAATTTAACTAAAAATTTGTCGACTGTAAACTTGTAAAACATATACGTATATATGGTAAGAAATCTATATAATTACAAATCGTAATCACTTTTTCGATTAAACTAATGAAAAGAAAAAAAAAATTCTGCGCCAATTTTACCCATCACTGCGCGTCCCGCGGTAAAATCGTGCAATTAGTCAAGCTTCATCTACCTTCGCGCGTTCAACAATCGTTCCAGGAATCAGCGATAATTTCCCTTTTTCTGCTCCCCCGCCCCTACCGTAACCCGCCAAGCATCATCCAACACTATATGTATGTACCTCGAAGAGTGGATGCCATGTATTTCAATACACACAAGGGTGCGAATGAAAAATCGCCCCCCCCCCCTAAATTCTACCGCGATCGCATGCATATATGTATGCATGTATCCCAAAAGTAAAAAAAAATTGCGAGTCCGGCGCGGTAAAACTCTCTGGAGAGCCCTAGTTTGTGATTTACGACCGCACACCCACCCACTGGTAAATCCCGGCAACGAGAGATAGGGATTTGCGTTTGATTTCACCCGATGAGCGATAAAACGCGTACACGCACACCCGTCCGTGGATAGAAAATCGGCCGGTGCGAGTGGAGCGATCTTTCAGTACGCAGGTCTCTTGCCGATTTTTTAAGCCGATCGTCCACAGAAACGATCATTCGCAAGATCAAGTGGGTCGAAGAGTATGGGTGCATGTAGGGCTCAGGAACCGCGTCGCCGGGCGCGTCCATTACAATAAAAGTAAAAAAGCCCGCGGGCCGAGAGAAGAAGGAGAAGACACAAGGGGGTATGGTGTATAGGAGCAGACGGTGGTGGGACATCTAATCGGCTCGATAAATCGTCCGTCCCGGTCGTCGCAACATATCACGCGGAGCCTGAGAGCGGCGAAAATAACTGGTCAACCAAGTATAGGTACCCACTTTGGGTACACGGAGTTGAACAAGGGCTGCGGCGAGAGAAACGCAGCCGCCGAGAGCGCAGGCACGTATCGGGGAAAGAGATATATTTATAAATGAAAGCGCCCGAGAGTGCGCGATGAGGAAGATGGAGAGCCGAGACACACACGTCGATGATCCCGAGGCTCTTACGTCCCCTCTCTTCTTCTTCTTCTTCTTCTTCCTCCTCTTGGTTGCGCTCGAGTGCACAAAAAAAAGGGCCCTGTAAACACGAGGGAGATCCACACACAGTTTCCGAGAAGCCTCCACGCGGACGTGCTTAAAAATGATTTCCTGCAGCTATAAGCTCCGCCCTACGATGAAATCCGTCGCGTGTTTTGGATACACCGTGTATATAAGTATAAGCGATGTCCTTACCCCCCCGCCACCCCCTTGGATCGGCGACTTTGGGTAAACAGTGGATTAAAAGTCAAAGCAGATATGGATAGAGCTTCTCGGAAGCTTTGACGAAAATTTATGTGCAATCAAGAATTGTGCGCGTGTGCAGCTATAGCAGGGATGCCACTAGGGGGTGGAGCTTAAATCGTATGTGTCACTGTGAACCGTAACAAAAACTGTAAATTGCTGGCGTTCGAGGGTATTTTTTTCCAAGTGCGAAACAGTAATTTTGATATTTCTCACTATCTGCGTGCTATACGTGTGCCCATGGTGGTTTTATCGCGCCTCGGAATAGACCCGACGGGGGCCCGATGCATTGTCCCCCGGCTGCAATGATGTCACGAGTCGTTAAATTAGAATGTCCGTAAGTATGCGTTTGCGCGTCGGATCGTGGACATAAAGCCGGACAAGAGACAGCGGTTGAGGGTAAAAAAAAAAAAAAAAAAAAGCTCGACAGAGCGCGTCGGACGCAAACGTGGCGCCGCTCGTACCATCGCTCAAAACGGCCGACGCTCCACTGGCGTTGCCCATCAGTTATTGTAACGTTTTAGCCTAAGAGAGTCGAAATAAGCAAAAAAAAAAAAAAAAAAAAAAAAAACACATACACGCCGCGCGTGACGTCACTTGTGACAGATAGGCGGGGAACAAGCGAGGAATAAAATGAAAAAACACCGCACAAGAGAAACCCCGAGAGTTACGTGTGGCATGTGTGTAGGTATATACACACACTCGGCTGTCGGGGGGCGCGTTACAAATCGCGAGCGATCCCGTCCGTCGCGCGTTAGTCTCGGCCGCGCCGCTATGTACGTTCGCGCGCATCTATAACTCAGTGCTCCGATTTTCGCATATATATCCGCATAATTAGTGGTACACGAAAATAAAACTGGACCCATATGTACCTGCAATGTGCCAAATGGGATACACTTTACACCCCCCCCCCTTGGAAAAATCGAGGATTCGATCTGCTCGCAAAAATACTGTATAAATACACGTGCAGGGGAAGGAAGGACAAAAGGCCTTGATTTAATTGTCAAGTAGGCTTGGCTGACGCGTAACAAGTTAATAACGCACAAAGGCTATTAATTAAGCCCCCTCCCCCCTAGGGCGTGGGGAGGGGTACCGCGAAAACGCAATTCGTTCCGCTAATTTCCGTGAAGGCCGTCTCGTCTGGTGTACGTGCACCAGCTTGGGGCTCGTCGGCGGAGACTCGAGATAGAGTTTTCGGAAATTTCCGAGTGACAAACTGCGGATTTGCCTATTAAGCGAGTAGGTATATAACACGATGTGTCCCTCGTCTTTTCCCACGCAGGTGTATATTTATATATATATATGTATAGTCAAGTTTCGGGTTGACGTGGAGCGACCGAAACAGACTCTATTCGACTACACTCGAGCCGAAAGTTTTGCAGGCTTTCCAAGGGACGGAGAGCCACTACTCCTGTGATATAGTAAATATGTATACATGGGGGAGGCTTTCGAACAAAGGGGCACTTGGTAGACGCTGAAAAAGTCGCTTAAATCAAGAAAACCCACTTGTACACACCAACAGAGGAAAGTGCGTACACGAAAATAAACTCTCTCTAAGTGAGTCTCTCTCGGATAAAACTCCACGTCGGCGAGATGCATAAATCATTCCCGGTCGGAGTAGAGAGAGAGAGACGGAACACGCCGCTGGCGGATAATAAACGGGAACAAGCAGCGGAGCTGCTTTTTTACACCCCCCCGTTCCCCCCATTTTATGCCCGTATATACAAATTCAACGTAATTTCTGCTCGTTAATCGGACTGATGATAAAAGTGTACACGAGTTGGGAGCTTACCTGTATCGAATGGGCATAGGAGGCGAGTGGCGTAAGTCAAAAGCGCGAGTCCCGAGGAAGCGTCCCCTATACGCTCTTTGGAAGCAGTCCCGGGGGCCACCAGTGGTTGGGGATGGCTACATAGGTATACGAGGAAAAGGCCGCGAGGCGGATTGATTTTCTCTCGGGGCTCATCTCCGTGGGTGCCGGTGGAAGCCCGAATGGAGAGAGAGACAGCCCTAAATTCCCGTATTTCCGGGGCAGCGCGTTAAATATGCACGTCTCGGTTAGACGAGTGCCTTTCAGCGAGACTCGTCGCTGCGGCCCCACTCCGATGCTTGAAGCGGAGAGGAGAAAAACCAAGGGGGTAGAGGCTGGGCTGGTGTTGATACGTGTGCACTGAAGATGGGATTTTTCTTTTCCGCCTTTCGGGGAAACGGGGTTGCGGGGCCGGCCCGTGTTATCTTTTTGCAATTTAGATTAGGCTTGTTGACGGCTATCTCTTGTCCGCGTTGCTGATGGCGCCCCTGGGACTAAGTGTAATAGTCGAGCGTCCGAGTTTTAGTTGGAGAATCACATGCTTTGGTTTTTTTTTTTTTTTTTTTCTTTTATAATACAAATCACGTAAATGTCAATGTTTCAAAGTGAATTCAATTTTTTATTTCCATTGAACAAGTCCGTATCAAGCAGCTACGAAAAATTGTTTCCTTGGAATACTTAACATCGATTGTTTTAACGTCTCTTTTGAAGTTTTTTTTTTTCCAAGATCTCGTGTATTACATACAATTGGTTCTATGTAAGATTTTACGGAAACTCTATAAATACTTGAGATGGAAAGTAAAGTAATTTGTTTTTTTTGTTCAAAATAGTATTAACACACTGAATTTCGGATTTTTTCAAACGTTAGTGTATAATTTTTGTGCAAGGCCTTTCATAAAAACTTTATAAATGTACTTCTACGCGGGTAATTACATAAAATTGTTTTCCGGCAGACATGGCGTTTTATCATTTTCTGAGTTTACTGTAATTGAAGTAAGGAAGAAAAAAAAGAGTCGTATCTTGATACAGCGACTGAAAAGGTGGCTCCTTGCGAAACACGATCAAAAAGAAAATGATAAAAAATTGAGGGAAAAAGATTACATCCGACGGTGGATTCGCTGGCGAAAAAAGAGAGTCTTGTAACGAAAAGGGGAGCCATTTAGGTATACCTACACTCGAAACTGGAGCTGATCTTGGTTAATTTAAAGTAAGAACAAAGAACAGCGGTATGGACTAACAAAATGAAATGTTTAAAAAAGCCAAGCTCCGTGTAATGCTAACATTTTAGACTGTACGGTACATTTCGTATGTTGTCACCAGAATAGTTGGTTGCAAGATCTTCGGGGACGGGGAAGTAAAAAAAAAAAAAAAAAAAAAAAAAAAAAATCGAATCAAAATTAAAGAGAATCCTTGCAAGTAAAAAGCATCAAAGTACCAATGGGCGGACTCGTTGTGTACAGGTTTCAGTGCTTCAAAGAGCAAAGTCCGAGGTGTCGGTCGAACCGCGCGGCAAAGAAAACACACGTCCCGCGAAGAGGCAGCGTATCAGCATCGCCGGTGGCTTTCCCTCCTCAAAGTCACAGCGCCCCTTGGAATCGGCGAGAGTGCCGGAGCTCCGGTACACGCTACATTAGCATGACGCATTGCCTCCACGCCCGAGAGCCGTGAATCGAAGTGCGGATACGTATGCCGCGCGC